ATATGGGCTGGACGCTATCAAGCAGCAGCATCGAGTGGTGCTCCACCGCTCTTGAAGAAGGCCTTCTGTTCACCACACACTGCATTGGTGCACCCAGGGCAACGCAGACCCATCTGAGTGCTGCAATTGCCCTGCGCGAAGGGGTGTACAGCGACGGAAGAAGTCTCGGACGTCGCCTTGGTACCCTCGACGGATTGCAAGTGAGCTGCTGCGATGTCCGCCAATGCCCGCAAGAAGAGCGGGTGATCGTTGAGCGACTCGACTCGCTTAAGTTGCATGCCGTGCTGGCAGAATGGAAAGGCGAAGCGTTTGCCGAGGCGTCAGCACCCAAACGTGCGAAGATGTCTTGCCAGATGCCCAGGAACATTCCGAATGCTTGTCTCACCTCTTCCGCTTCCTCCACCAGCTCAATGTCGAGCTCGTAAAGAGTCTCGATGTGATCTTGGGTGAATGCGATAGGCACAGCCACAGCATGCTTGTGACCCTGCTTCGCCCATCCCTTTACAGTATCGCTGGTCTGAGGTCCAAGCCAGGCGCTTGGGCCAACTTGCGACTGCCAAGTAACCCTGTAAGGGTTCGACCAACCAAGACGCACCATGACTGCTGCGACTGTGGCTGCTACTTCTGCGGGATAGGGATCGCCCCTTCCTGAAACGATCTGCATGGGCAGCGAGTGCGCAGAGAACATGATCGGCACCGTTTGGCGAATCTCGGCTGGGTAGGTCTCTAGGGTGTCCCTCAATCTTTGAGTGAAAGCCTGCGGATCCCACAATGTAGAGCATGATGAGCGCGATGGCTCGGTTCCGCGGCTGCTGTGGCGTCACTCACCTCGACGAGCCCTTCGTGCGTGGGCCACCGGTCGATAACGCTCCACTTGATATCAGCCTCGGGTCTCCCTTCCTTTCTCCTGCGCTGAATCTCTCTGTACAGCTCGTTGAGGTTGGAGCCGGTTGTAGAGCAGGAATACTGAGGATACTGGGTGAAAGCGACGGCTCTCGTGACGCCATCCTTGGCCATCTCATCCAGTGCTTCCTCCGTCAGAGGTCTGGCGTACCTAAAAGCGATGTAAGCCTTGTGAGGAGCAGTGGCGGGGTGCAGCTCGTCCAGCATGGTCGCCATGGCGTCTCCCTGGGTTCTGGTCCATCTCAAGATGGGAGACCCTCCACCAATCTTTGCATATTGATCCTTAATCTTGGGCGTCCTGCGAGCTGCGATGAGCGGCGCCAATCTCGATTGAAAGGGAAGTTGGATAAGTTCACGATCGTGGAATAGGCGGGACAAAAAGTCGCCCACTTCGTCCAGTGTCGATGGACCACCCATGTTCATCAACAAGACCGCAGTGGGAGGCTTGCTGCCGTTGTTTGATGAGGCCATCGTTGCCAAGCTTCGACTGCTAGCCGCGACACTTGAAGCAGGAGCAGCGGCTGCGGTGACTGCACAAGCGCCAGTCTTCGAAGAGACGCCGCGGACACTTAGCCGTCTTGCAAGCGCCACAGAGTCGGGTGTCAGCGATGAGCTTGCGAGGCGTGGCACGATTGCGCCTCGGCAAGGAGCGCTGATGCCTTGCCTGAAAGCCAGGCGCGTAGCCGCCGAAGTGCCAACAGAAGGAGACAGCACCATCTCGCTGGCCACTGTCTAAGAGGAGCGACTCGTGAGGGGCGGTAGGGTCTCGGATCCAGACTTTGACGATGCTTCGATGAAAAAGTGCGGGAGGAAGATGGGTTGGTGATGGACGGCAACGTGTAAGCAGTCGATTATGCACTCGAAGCAGAAATAGGGTCAGAGTCAGGAGTGCGCCAACACGTTCACGTATACGAGAGAGCTTACTTCTCCATGCTGCTCCACCAGCACGCTCTTGGCACTCACTGAATCAGCATATACGCAACATGTGCTGTTCTCTCCACAGCACGCACTGCACCGGCCATCCGCGGCTTTTCAAGAAGATGCGGCACGCCATCAGCATGCACGCACGCGCAGGAGCTTTCACGGCATGGCCCACCAGCGTACAGCCGTTGGTCATCAAAACATTCGATTTCGCGCCAAGATCTTATCGTACGAGAACTTTTGCGCCGGCCAAACCATGTTTCATGTGTCCCTCGAAATCGCTAGGCTCATCAATGTCGACGTCGACGTCCCTACAAACCTCACAAAAGGGTCATGTGATGCCCAAATTCGCATGTGTGGATCACATTTCTCGGTAAGAATGATGGAGATGTGTGCATAGCAGGCAATATGGACGAGGAAGCGCGGAGTGAAGTGACACAGATTCGATGGTGTCTGGAGGCAAGTCATCGTAGCGATGTATGATGGCGAATATCATTGGCTGTGGTGAGAGTAGAAGATTGTTGAAGAAGCCAGCCTTGGAAACGCGTGTGCTTGTGCAGGAGTGTGGATGATCAAAGTCAGAAGAGTCGTGATAATCATCGTGAGAAGGGCGGGGAGGACCGGTGTGTCGAAAGCGTGTCGAGCAGCAGCATCGTTGATCACCTAGGCTCGACAAGTCACCGTGAAGACGATGCGAGCGGGTCCTAGCTGGGTCGCATTTTGCGGCTCCGATGACCGAGGGCTCACTGATTCGGCTCTGGTAGGAGCGAGGCTGCAGCGTTTGCTGCGTCTTGAGCTTCGCTCCGTCTGGGTCGGCCTACAATGTTGCGGCTGCCATATGCTCCCACATCATAGCGGCACATGGGGCACGTGCGACGCGTAGACAACCAGGTCTTAAGGCAGTCTGTTGGATGCGATTTCAGACGAGCTGAAGCTTGTCAGCAACAGCAATCGATTGTTGCAAGCTGTGGACTCGACAGACGCACCTTTGTGAAAGGCGTGGTTGCAAGGCGCGCTCATGAGCATCGTGTCGGCTTCGTACTCGTCCAGGCAGATGGGACAACG